ACAAAGGTTAGAAAAATCCTTCTTACATATCGTTTTGTTTTTAAGGAAATATAAAAGGTCCGAAGAATCAAAATATCTAAAAGAGATTATTCATGCAAAGATTATGAACTATTATACATCATATCGACTCTTTTCTCCACCTCACAACCTGAAATTAAGTGCAAATGGTTCTGTTACTGCTTTGTCCTCTATACCAAGTATCTTAGTCTTTGTCTAATAATATGTAAATATCGATAATATGTGAGATGTTAGAAAAGATTAAGGTATAAGACCGTACAATTTTCTTGTTTCTATCACTCCTTTTAATGGTTGATTTGCTTGTTCAAATGACCCAGGCTAAATCATATTATTGGTTTAACAATTTTTTCAATCAAGATTTATGAAACTTAAAAAATTTAAATTTAAGTTGTTAATAGTTAATTAGTTTCTATTTATACATCACTTACAATCTTATTTAAACTTGACAAAATTACACTTATTTCAAAGATCTAACCCATCCTTTTTGTTTTGGGTAAAGTTATAAGTCTAAAATATTAATTTAGAATCTAATATGACTCAAATTGTAATTATGTAGACTCAATTGTGTTGCGTTAGGGTCATGTCTGGTCAACTCAAAATGGCTTAACTAAAATTAATTAAATTTTTTAAATTAAAATTTTAATTAATTATATTTTAATTTTCAACTTCTAAGTATAAAATAAAATTAAAAACCATAAAATAATCATTATTTATTAGATTATTAAAGCTATTATTAATTTAATAGATTTTTTTACTAAATAATTAATTAATATTAAACTTTTTTAAAATAGAGAAAATATTGAAAATTTTAATTTTAATTTTTTGAAAAATTTGAGTTCACTCGACCCAATCCAAAACTCATATGGGCAAATCATGGATTTACTCTCTCTATGTTAAAATCTAAAATGATCCAACCCGATAAATCTAGAATGCAAGGTGACTCAATTTGAACCCACCCAATCTGACTTGTTTATTAGGTCTAAACATTTTTAGTAATGGTTGGTTTTTACATTTATATATCAACTATAATCATAATCTTCTTTTGATTTGGGATCGAGACGTTATAATATTGTAACATCTCACGCCAAAGCGCCTAAACATGACTAGTGATATTGTTTGCTTTCAATGGACCTCACAGTTTTAAAAGGTTTCACTATGGTGGTGGTGGGTTTGCACCTATAAACCCAAGATCCCTCATGTACCTGGCTGATGTGGGATCTGCCTAAGAGCATTAGGTGTTGACATCTCCTAAAAAGTGTTGTTACCTCCATCTGATTGGTTATTGCACTTGTTTTCTAATCCATTCCTAGATGACTTCTTCATTTTTGTTTCACAATACAGAAAGCCTTGCTCCTTGACAGATAGGAGCAACTAATATAACATGTGGAGGGTTAAAGACAAGAAGTTTGCTTATTGAGGTACTTAATTTTATATCACTAAAAAACCCTAGCCTCCCCTCCCTTTCTCTCACTCCTTTATCCTCTCCCTCCTCTCTTGGTTATTCTTTCATTTTGTCACCATCTCTCTATTTAAGGGTTTTCTTTCTCAAGGAGGTTTTGTCACCCTCTTTTGGGAGTTTTTGTCTAAGGTTTTTAATAATATCAAATTAAGTCCCTTAATAAGCAACCTTCTTGTCTTTAACTCTTCACATGTTATAGTAGCTACTCCTATTTTTCAAGGAGCAAGTCAATCTGTATAGTGAAACAAGAATGAAGAAGTCATCTAGGAATGGATTAGAAAACAAGTCTAATAACCATCAAATGGAGGTACCAACACCCTTCAGGAGATGTCAACACCTAAAACTCTTAGGCAAATCCCACATCACCAAACATGCGAGGGATCTTGGGTTTATAAGGGCAAACCCACCACCACCATAGTGAGGTCTTTTAAAACTATAAGGCCCGTTGAAAGCAGACAATATCACTAGTTGTGTTTAGGTGTTTCGGTAGACTAAGATTATAGGTACTAACAACTTGAATTTAAATTTTTAAAGTTTATGATTAGCCTTGGCAAACACATCAGATTGGGTCACCTTAAATTTTAGATTTATGGTGTTGGGTCATTTTAGATTTCTAGTTAAAAGGAATGAACACAGGACTTACCTACAAGGGTTTCAAATTGAGTCAACTAGACCCAACTTTTTAAAAAATTAAAATTAAAATTAAAATTTTCAATATTTTCACTATTTTTCTTTTTAAAAAGTTTAATATTAACTAATTATTCTCTCAAAAAAATTGTTAAATTAATAATAACTCTAGTAATCTAATGAATAATAATTGTTTTATAGTATTTAATTTTATTTTATTCATAAAAATTAAAAATTAAAATATAATTAATTAAAATTTTGATTAAAAAATTAATTAATTTTAGTTGAGTCACTTTTGGGTTAACTAAAGTTGATCCTAACTCAACCAATCAAGTTTGCGTAATTACAATTTGGGTCAAATTTATATTGGATTCTGAGTTAGCATTTTAAACTTATGACCTTTATCTATAATGGATGAGTTGGATTAAATTTTTGGATCCAGTGTAATTTTATCAAGTTTAAGTAAAACTATAAGTGGTGTATAAGTAGAGATTAATTATTATTAACAATTTAAATATAAGTTTTTTAAAACTCATTAATCTTGATTCGAAACATTGTTAAACCAATAATATGATTCCGCCTGGCCGGGTCATTTCAACAAGCAAATCAACCATTAAAAAGAGTTATAGAAACAAGGAAATTATACGGTCATGTGCACTAATCTTTTCTACCATCTCACTTATTATTGATATTTAAATATTATTAAACAAAGACTAAGAGATCGGATACAGAGGACAAAGTAGTAATGGAACTATTTGCACTTAATTTCAGGTTACAAGGTAGAGAAAAGAGATGAGTTGATAATTTTTGCATGAATAATCTCTTTTGGATAACTTTGATTCTTCAGACCTCTTATATTTTAAGAAAACAGAATGATATGTAATAATCATTATCTTAAGAATATTTGTTCTACCTGACCTACAAAAGAAGCATCCCATTGGAGAATCGGTTTTCGCATTTACAAAGGATTTAATGTCACTATCACTTACCAATTCAAGCAATTATTGTTTTTTTCTTAGTTGAGACATTTTATTTTATATAATTCACAATAGCTTGTCAAACACATAAAAATGTGCGTGCTTAGACTTTGATGAAGTATAGTCAAAGTAATGAACCAATCAAAGGGTAAGTATAGGAAGAAACAAAAAGATTTACTACCGAAGACTTGGTACAGCTTACACCTACTGTTTGAAAAAAGAGACAAAAGGAGAGACTACTTCAATACTTACGCCTATAAATAGACATGATTCCTTGAAGGGGTTTCTCATCCCTCACAAAGAAGCTTGGAAGAATTTAAGGTAGCAGCAACCTTACAAAAATGAAGAGTGCTTATTTCCTCGTCGCTTTTGCCTTATTGGCTTTTGCTTCCTCCTTTGTTTCTGCCTATGACCCCAGCCCTCTCCAAGACTTCTGTGTAGCCATCAATGACACCAAGAACGGAGGTATGTGCTCCCGCTCCTGCAAGTTGCATTTTATAACAACTTCCTTTTGAAAGTGTACTATATTTTTTCTTGGCTGCTTTTGAATTAATTATAACACCTTTGCTGCAGTGTTTGTTAATGGGAAGTTTTGTAAGGACCGAGAGCTTGTCGTAGCAAACGATTTCTTCTTTCCAGGGCTTGACGAGCCAGGAAACACATCCAATGCTGTTGGATCAGCCGTTACTCCGGTGTCTGTTGAACAACTTTTGGGACTTAACACTCTTGGCGTATCCCTAGCTCGTATTGACTTTGCACCTTATGGTGGCCTTAACGCGCCCCACACTCATCCTCGCGGAACTGAGATTCTAGTAGTCCAGGAAGGCACACTATACGTTGGCTTTGTCTCCTCCAACCAGGATGGGAACCGTCTATTTACTAAGGTCCTGAACAAGGGAGATGTTTTTGTTTTCCCTATTGGTCTGATTCACTTCCAGCTCAATATAGGGAAAACTCCTGCTGTTGCTCTTTCTGCTCTTAGTAGCCAGAATCCGGGCACAATTACAATCGCCGATGCCCTTTTTGGATCCAATCCAGCTATTAAACCTGATGTTCTCACCAAGGCCTTCATGTTAGAGCCGAATGTTGTCAAGTACCTCCAGTCACGTTTTTGAAGGAAAAACATTTATCATTGGAAGACTTGAACTAGCTATGTTTTATGTTTTAATAGTTGATTGTGTGGATTGTCTTTGAGTGCTATGCCTCTATTAATTCTATCATTGTATTCAAATAATACTCATTACCATCTAATAAAGAGGTTGCTTAATTCTTATATAGCCTTTTGTATTTAGAGATAAACTAGTACACAAGATAGGCTATATTTATTCATGCAAAGTGCAGCATTAGTGCAGAAATGTCAAGACCATCTAATTGTCCTTGAACATAATTTTTTGGTTCTGAGAAATAGGATTTGGTGGCAACCTTCAAGGATAGAGTTAGGAGTCAGGACATCCTGCAGGAAACAAATGTAGTTGTTTTACGGATGAATTCTGCATTAGGGCCAAAAGACAAAGTTTGTCTAAAGTAAAACAAGATCGGTTAACAAAGTCTTAACATTTTTATAGCATTTTTATTTCATTTTCACAAGGAAAATGAAATAAAACATTAAAATTGTTGGATAATGGATTAAAGCAGAGATTTATCATTTCAGTACCCTCCGTAAATGCTGCAATTCTTCGCGCCTTAGTATTTACGCTCCGGAGAGTGTAAATAATCATGGTGATGGCAGCTTTCTAAAATTTCCTAATGCCCATGAAGTGAAAAGTATTTTAGAATGAAAAAAAGAAAAATAAAAGTAAGGCATGGCAGAAGTTGGTTTTGAATGGAAGAGGCGTGGCAATGTAGTCACCACGGGAGTGCCAGATGAAACAAAGAAAAGAAGTGGATGGATGAAGTACCTCCTGGATAGGCCACCCTCCTCTATATCTGAATACTTGACGGTTCCATCCCTCCCCTGGCTAGCTATGCGGATGACGTTAAGGAAAGTGCTACATAATACAGTATTGTCATTAAACTGAAGATTTCATCCTGTAATTTTTGTTGGCCTTTTTCCCTTAATGTTTTGCATTTTATTTGTAGTATACAGCTTCAATCAGTGGGTAAGTTCTTTATAACATGTTCATCGATTCCTAGAACAATATGGATTATTAGGAACTTCTAAAATCTAGTAAGAGTGATTGTGCCACTGAAATATGGTGATTACTTGTGGTTTTTTGTTTTTCTTTTGATTCGATGCCTTTGTGTTATTTTGCCAATTTCTGCTTAAAGTGGGTCTTTTCTGGTCTGGAAGTTTTAGTTGGATAAAGTATTGAATACCAGGTTCTTCTCAGCAGAAGGATTTGCACTATTTTGCCAGATACTCTGCCTCTATTAGCCATAGTGTCCAAATCTGTAATAGTTTACTCTCTTTCTACTTTTCCGTGATTGCTTGCATATTCCTACTATCACTTCTCTTTGCTAATTCTGCATATCATCTCATATTTGTTTCATTGTTTGCTGAAAAAGAGATTTTTTGTTTGAAGGTATAATGCTGGGGATCCACTGTCTGCTGATGATCATTCCTTTATACTTGACAATGTCTTTGCTTATCATCCAGAGAAAGCCAGGGAAATGGGCGCTGGCACTGAATATTTCATGGCATACTTAATTACTCAACTTTTGCTTAGTTATTATTATTATTTTTTCTCTCACTTTTTAAAGTCATTTTCTTACCCAAGGGGACCTCACAGGACAGAAACAAAGAATGTTGAGTTCTACTTGTTAGTGCATTTTATTTTTTTGGTGCATGATATTGTAGGTTATCTAGCAAACTGATAATTGCATAATCCTCCTCCACCCCCCAAAATCCTGCCCATCCCATTCCTAGGATTTAAACTCAAACTGCATGCATGAATGTGAAACAATATCTGTTACATGAGAAAACAAATGGTCATACATAATTGTGTATGTCTTAATGTGTTGTCTGTTTATTAATCCAATGATAAACCTGAACTCAATGTGACAGATAAACAAGGATGTGAATTTCCCAGAAAGCAGGTGCTTGTATGTGGTCACAACCGATGGTTTCAAAGAAGATTTTTCCTACCGAAAGTGTCTGGACAACTTTGTCAAGGGAAAGTATCCTGATCTTGCTGAAGAATTCATTGCAAAATATTTCAGAAAACCACGCTCTGGAGGGAACCGGGATCAAAATTCTGTGCCTCCCCAAACTCCTCAGGATGAAAATCAGCAGTAGTTCAGCCATCGTCTCCTAGAAGTTTCCATGCTCAAGTTATGTAAATTCCTGGCATCTGCTATTTTTCATTTTTGTATATATAGAGCTGATATTCTTTCATTTATCTCCAACAAAATGATGCTCAGCACATTCCTGATGAACCACTCTTTTTTCAATAAACATGAGTGGTTCATCTCGTCTTTGTATTAGTGGCTCAATTGCAGCTTATTTACCTAACACTGCACCGCAGATGGACATTGTCTTGATGACTTCTTAATACTTTGACCAGATAGTGAGGGCTGGAAGCGGAGCTTGTAACACATGGTTGAGGTGGTTGGAATGAAGATCTTGTTTTCTTTATTGTTCCCCTAAAGTGCTTGTTTATGCAAAATTCAGCTGAGATTGATGAATGCAATTTGAATGTTTTTGGTTAGATGGAATATGTATTCCACGGTCTAAGTATTTTTATAAGATAAATTGTTAAGAGACATAAAAGATTAAGAATGCATATTCTTTATTTTTATAAATTTTTTTTTTGAACAATTTATAATTATTTATAAGGTTAATTGGGGGAGGGGGAAAAAGAGTTCCATGAAATTCGAACGTGCAACCCACAAAAATGAATAGTTTTAACCCAAAATCCGATGCCACTGGACCGGAGCGAGCTATTCTTTTATTTTTATAAATTTCTTTTAAATTATTGCAATTAATGTATAAATTTACCTGTACACTTAGGTCTTAGGTTATAATTATAAGTTTCATCATAAGGTACATATTTTAAGTCGGGGTTTGAATCCTTCTACTCAAAAGAATAAGTTTTTATAATCTCTTCCATTCTTTTTAATTAATTTGTCATAATATTTACTATAAAGAATGTTAAAAAAAAAAAACTAACTATTGTTTAAAATTATGATGTTTTAATCTCTTTTTTAAAAGAAAATTAATTAAAACGATGTTATTTAAGATATTTTTTAAAATTTTTTTATACGCATCGTTATTAAACATTTTTTATATATTTCTTTAATTGTTTAATGTCATGAGATGTTTCATTTCACTAGGCATATCATATTAATTAATCAATAAATTTTTTTACCTTATGCTTTGGGGATATTTTTTTATATTAATTATTATTTAAAAAATAATAATTAATATTTCTTTAATTAATTATTTAATTAAAATAATTCACTTGATATTAATAAAGAGATAAATGTCAATTTTTGTTATTTATAATGCTCATTAATATAAAAAAGATATATCCTTTTGGACTAGATGGGAAAAATCCTTGGCCATTTACATAACAGCAAAAACTCATACCAGTACTGATTTTCACATTACACTAAAAATTTATTACTTTCGTCTATTACCTCGAATCATAATATTTTAAACCTAATTACACTTTCACTCGCCTGGTTTTACAGCAACCGCCCACTGACACTATAATAAATGGTATAAAGGAGGAGGAAGAAGAGGGGTTTACAGAAGAGATGATGAATCGTTTCATAGTCATCTCTGCTTCACTCTTCCTCTTCCTTTCGATTCTCCTTCTTCCTCTGCTCAATCCCAACTGTACTTCCAACTCTCTCTCGCCTCATTTCACATCGTATTTTCTTATCATGAATTCAAGCCTGATTGTTTGCCTGATGTTGTAGATTGGTTGAAGTGGAGAGCTGCTTTGGTTCCCTCAACGAAATTAGCTGCGGATTTAATAGTGAGGAATGGGTTCACCTTCACCAGCGACCCTTCTCTGCCTTTTGCCGATTCCATGGCCATTCGCGACGGCCGGATCCTCCGAGTCGGCAACTATTCTTCTCTTCAGGTTCTTTTGCAAAGTGATGGCCTTGCAATGTCAATCCATCTAATTTTGGTTTTCAGATGCTGTAGCTCTACCTTAGGCATTGACTCATATATTAATTTGTTGCGTGCAGGATTTGGCGGGATACGGAACAAAAGAGTTGAATCTTGAAGGAAAAGTTGTGGTTCCTGGGTTGATTGATTCTCACGTGCATTTGATTTTCGGGGGATTGCAGGTTCTTAAGAAATGATTTCTCTTCCCTTTTTCTTGTTTTACTCGTTCTTTTTTATCCATTGATAATTTTATTAAGTGGTGATATGTATAGAAACTGTTGCTCCAATCACCTTATTTGGGATCTTCTATGTAATATTTTGCTCTTTAAGAAAAGTTAGAAATGCTCTTTTCCCTAATAAGAAAAACATGAAATTTTGTAATGTGTTTATTGCCCAATAGACATAGACACATTTTCTTGCCATATACTTAGCAAGAGTCTGTTCATATGTCCATGGAGTTGAGATTTCTAGTGGAAAACAGATGATCCAAGTGGAACTCCGAGGTGTAAATAACAAGGAGGAACTGTTGAGAAGGGTGAAAGAAGCAGCGCTTAGTAATCCCTTTTTTTCTCTTTATGGTTAATTGATTATTGTATTAGTTTTTGGTGTTGGTGGATTCTTAATGTATATCTTGCTGTTACTTGATGAATGATTGTACATATCAGCTCATATTCTTGTCTAATTGACATTGATGTTATACTCTTCTGAACATAGTTCATCAAAACCTCCCCTGCTGATGCTGCTTGTTAGTCCTTTTATTATCAACTCTACATCAAACTATGCAAACTTTACTGCATAGATCATTTACTTGTTAGCCAAGGTTGTGAACCTGGTCGGAAACAGAAGATAATCTTGATTTATGAATAAAAAATTGTGGTGTTTTAGATAGTCTACATGTGTTTTCAAACCTTATAAAACCCTTTCCACATTGATGGGTCTGAGTGAACAATTCCAGATGCCAGAAAGGGTTCATGGATTCTGGGAGGTGGATGGAACAATGACCTTTGGGGAGGAGAACTGCCTATGGCATCTTGGATAGACAATATTACACCTGACAATCCAGTAAGAAACTATATTTAATTCATTTTAGTTGTAGGCTCGAATGTGAGGCTCCTAACATCATGCTCCTAAATTAAAATGTCTAATTGCTCAGGTTTGGCTAGCGAGGATGGATCATCATATGGGCTTGGCAAATTCAGTTGCACTTAACTTGGCTGGAATTACTAAATTATCAGAAGATCCAAGTGGAGGAACTATAATGAGAACTGTTGATGGAGGTATGTTTAGTTTGTTTTGCATCTAAATGTTTGAATTCTAACCAACTCATGTTGAGTTGGGAGCTGTGTTGGTTTATTCTTTGTCTGAAGATAATCAGAAGAACAAGCAAAATTGTAGTGTGTGAAAGGATCTATTATTAATATACTCTCTTAACCTGTTGCTTATATTACATCTTCATCTTGATTGTGCAGAGCCTACAGGGTTGTTAATTGATTCTGCCATGAATCTTATCCTATCCTTGATTCCTGATGTCTCTGTGGATCAAAAAAGGGATGCTTTGCTTAGGGCTAGCAATCTTGCCTTGATGAGAGGAGTCACAACTGTTGTGGATTTTGGGAGATATTTTACTGGTGCATCAGTTGAGGCTTCCTGGGAGGACCTTTCAGGTTTTCACTTAAGATATTTTCCAGAGTTTATGCATTTTAAGTCAAATGAAGTTATTCTGCTGCACATATGATTCTGCATGCTTTTTGAACTAAGGATTCTCAACAAAACAATTACACCTAAATCTCAAACAAAAGAATCACAGAAAAGAAAAAAAAAAAAAAGGGAACCATTTTAGATGGATGCAAACATGATATTGGCAACTTGAGACATCTTTTCATAATAGAAATTGCTCAAGAATCCTATAAATGCAATGCTGCAGAAAGTGACTTTTCTTTCCAGTGCCTTTGTTGTTCTTTGTCTTTTATTTTCTTCGGTTCGCATAGATGTCTATCAATGGGCTGATTCTTCAGGCAAGATGACAATCAGAGTTTGCTTATTTTTTCCAATTGAGACATGGTCAAGTTTGCATGTATGACCTCTTTGACAATTTCTCTGTTCAAAGTGACATGTTGAAATTAGTTATTTTAGATTCCTATTATTTGTTTTCCGATCATGTTTTTTTTTTCCCCACTGAAATTTTATTATTCTCTT